CCAGGACCCTGGGATCATGACCTGAGGCAAAAGCAGAGGCTTAACCCACTGAGCCATTTTTTTCTATTGTCCTTTTAGGTCTAGTTCATTTCTTTCTCTTTTTTTCCATTTATTTCCACTCTAATATATATATATTTATTTATTTTAAAGATTTTATTTGTTTATTTGACAGAGAGATCACAAGTAGGCAGAGCAGCAGGTAGAGAGAGAGGGGGAAGGAGGCTCCCTGCTGAGCAGAGAGCCCGATGCGGGGCTCGATACCAGGACCCTGAGATTATGACCTGAGCTGAAGGCAGAGGCTTAACCCACTAAGCCACCCAGGTGCCCCAACTCTGATATTTATTATTTCTTTCCTTGTACTAACTTTGTGTTTAATTTGTTCTTTGTTTTGTAGTTCCTTTAGGTTTAAAGTTAAGTTGTTTGAGATTTTTTCTTGTGTTTTGAAGTAGGCCTGTGTTGCTATAAACTTCTCTCTTCCAACCACTTCTAATGCATCCCATAGATTTTTGTATGTTGTATTTCTGTTTTCACATGTCTCTAGGTATTTTTAAATTTTTCCTTTTATTTCTTTGATGATCCATTGTTGTAGTATGTTATTTAATCTCCACGTTTTTGTGTTTTTTCCATTCTTTTTCTTGTAATTGACTTCTAGTTTCCATACCATTGTGGTCAGAAAAGATTCTTGGTATGATTTCAGTCTTAAATTTATTGAGAGTTGTTTTGTGACCTAACCCATGATCTGTCCTGGAGAATGTTCCATGTGCACTTGACAAGAATGTATGTTCTGTTTTGGATGGAATGTTCTGTGTAAATCTCTTAAGTCCTTTTGGTCTAATGTGTTGTGTACGGGTGATGTTTACTTATAGATTATCTGTTTAGGTGATCATTGATGTTCAAGTGTTAAAATCCCCTACTATTGCTGTCAATCTTTTCCTCAAGATTATTAATATTTGCTTTATATATTTTGGTCCTCCTATGTTGGGTGCATAGATATTTATAATAGTATATCTTCTTGCCAGGTTGATTCTTTTATCATTATGTAGTGACCTTCTTTGTCTTTTATTACATTCTGCTTTAAAATCTGTTTTGCTGGGGTGCCTGGGTGGCTCAGATGGTTAAACGTCTGCCTTTGGCTCAAGTCATGATCTCCAGGGCCTGGGATCTAGCCCCACGTCCAGCTACCAGCTCAGCAGGGAGTCTGTTTCTCCCTCTACCTCTCCCCCTGCTTGTGCTTTCTCTCTCTCTCTGTCTGAAATGAATAAATAAAATCTTAAAAAAAAATAGAATCTGTTTTGTTGCGAAAGTTCAGCCAAAGCAGCTTTTCGTTTGTTTCCATTTACATGGAATATCTTTTTCCATCCCTCTACTCTCAGTCCTTACTTCTTTTTTGTTTGTTTGTTTTGTTTTTAGATTTCAAAAGCTCCACTTTTGAGCTGAGTCTCTTGTAGGCAGGGTATAGATGAGTCTTGTTTTTTGGGTTTTGTGTGTGCGCTTTTTTTAAGATTTTGTCAGAGAGCGCGCGACCGTCGAGCACCAGCAGGGGGAGTGGCAGGCAGAGGGAGCAGCAGGCTCCCCGCTGATCAGAGATTTCCCCCCCCCAATGCGGGACTCCATCCCAGAACCCTGGGATTGTGACCTGAGCCAAAGGGAGATCCTTAACCAACTGAGCCACCCAGGTGTCCCTTGTTTTTGTTTATAAATCCATTCAGCTACTCTCTGTCTTTAATTAAAGGATTTAGTCCATATACATTTAAAGTAATTATTGATAAGTGTGTATTTATTGCCATTTGGTTAATTGTTTCCTGGGTGTTTTTGTTGTTATTCTCTGTTTCTTTCTTCTCCTTTTCTCTTTCCTCCTGGTTTGTTAATTTCCTTTAATGTTATGTTTAGATTCCTTTCTCATTTTCTTTTTATATTTGTGACAAGTTTTTCTCTTTGTGGTTACTAGGAGTTCACATATACCATTCTATGTATGTAGCAGTCTGTTTTCAGTTGGTAGCAACTTAATTGAAACTCATTCCAGAACTCTACATTTTTATTTCACCTTCTGTATTTTATGGTTTTTATGTCACATTTTATACTTTTTCATTTTATGTATCCCTTAACTAATTATTATAGTTTTAGTTAGTTTTACCACTTTTCTCTTTTGACTTTTATGCTAGCTGTATAAGTGAGTAAATGTACTACCTTTACAATATATTTTCCAGTGAGATTTTTACTGTGTTTTCTTGTCATTATTAGTAATCTTTCATTTCAGCTTAAAAAGTTCCTTTGACATTTCTTTTTCTTTTTTTTTTTTAAGATTTTAGAGAGAGAGAGAGAGAAGGATCACAGGTAGGCAGAGAGGCAGGCAGAGTGGGGAGGGAATCAGGCTCCCCACTGAGCAGAGAGCCCAGTGTGGGGCTCTATCCCAGGACCCTGCGATCATGACCTGAGCCGAAGGCAGAGGCTTAACCCACTGAGCCACCCAGGTGCCCCCATCTTTTGACATTTCTTATAAGGTTGGTTTAGTGATCATGAGCTCCTTTAGCTTTTACTTTTCTGAAAAATTGTCTCTCCTTCTATTTTGAATGATAACCTTCTTGGTAGAGTACTCTTTCTTTCTTTTTTTTTTTTAATTTTATTTATTTATTTGACAGAGAGATCACAGGTAGGCAGAGAGGCAGGTTGGGGCGGGGGGATATCAGGCTCCCCGCTGAGTGGACAGCTCAATGTGGGGCTCGATCCTAGGACCCTGAGATCATGACCTGAGCCAGAGGCAGAGGCTTAACCCCCTGAGCCACCCAGGTGCCCCTTGGTAGAGTATTCTTGGTTGTAAGTTTTTTCCTTTAAGAACCTCGAATATGTCTCATCAGTCAATTTGGAATTTCTTCTGAAAAATTTGCTGATAACTCTATGGGGTTTCCTTTGTATGTGTCAAGTTGTTTTTTTCCTGCTACTTTTAAGAACTCTCTCTTTAGCTTTTGACATTTTAATTATAACATGTCTTGGCGAGACTCTCTTTGGTTTCATCTCTTCGGAACTTTCTGACCTTCTTGGATCTGGATGTTGATTTCCTTCCTGAAGTTAGGTTTTTCAACTATTATTTCTTTGTATAAGTTTTCTGCCCCTTTCTTTTCCCTCTGGGACCCCTATAATGAGAATGTTACTCTGCTTGATGTTGTCCTCTGTGTTCCTTAAGCTATTTTCACTATTTAAAATTCTTTTTCCTTTTTTGTTCCCTTGTCTGGGTGAGTCCTCTCCTGTGTCTGCCAGGTTAGTGATCTGTTCTTCATCTAGTCTACTGTTGAGCCCCTCGTGTGTAGTTGTCAGTTCAGGAATTTTGTTCTTCAGCTCTGTGATTTTTGTTTGGTACTTTCATGTATTTTCTCTCTCTTTGTTAAGTTCTCCTTTGTGTTCGTTCATTCTTCTCCTGAGTAAGCATCTTTATGACTATTATTACTCTGATCTCTTCATCAGGTCGATTACTTATCTCCATTTCATTAAAGTCTTTTTCGGAGGTGTTGTCTTGTTCTTTTGTATTGAAATAACTCCCTCACCCAGTCTTGAGGGAGTGGCCCTGTGTACAAGATGTTCTCTGGGGCTTAGAGGTACGAGGGAGCCATGTGCTCAAGGGGCATCCCCTGTGTGGACTTCACACGCCTGTCAGCTGTGTGTGGGTTGGGGTGGAATGGGTGTGGGGTGCTTGTCTGTCTGTAGTCCACGGAGGAAGGAATGAAGGAGCCGGGGTGGGGTCTCACCTGACTGGCTGTGCAACAGGTTGCATTTCTGGGTGCGGCTGCTCACCTGGTTGGTTGTGGTTTGGCTGCAGCACGGTGAGGTGGTAGTGCATGGGGCTCTTGCCCCCCAGCTGTGCTGTGGCTGGGGCCTGGGGGCGCAGAGCATGCCTAGTGGCTTTAGGTTAGAGTGAGGTTGCCAGCATGGCTCCTGCCCGCACAGACATTAGCTAGGTTAAGTGAGATTGCGAAAATGGCATCTGCCTGCGCTTTCATCCCCAAAGTCTCAGCAGGTTCCTGCTTTTCAGGTTGCTTTGGGGTTAATAAGGGGCTTTCCTTCACGTACAGTCCAGAGGCTTTTTAGACGGCTGCTTTTTTGCACGAGGTTGTGGAGTGAGTTTGTATGTGAACCTGAAGTCCGTTCTCTGTTCTTCCAAGTTCTGTGGTTATGGATGCCCCCTGTTGGTTTTCAAAGCTATAATTTTGGGAGCTCATCTCTCTGGTACAGGACACAGTGGTTGGGGTGCCTGGTGTGGAAGACAAAACCCTTGGTCACCAGGGAAAAGTTCTGTATTTTTGAGATCCCTCCTGATTGTCTGTCGGTAACCTTGCCTGGGATGGGGCTTTTGCAGAGAGTGTGATCTCTGACTTTCCTGCCTCTCTCAGTGCAGCCCTTTTATCTTCTGTTATGGAGATGCTGCTCAGGTAGTCTTCAGGACTTCTTTGGGGAGTGTGTTCCGTATGTAGTTGTAGACTTGCTGTGTCTGTGAGAAGAGGTGAGTTAAGGATCTTCTTATGCTGCCATCCTGAACTATCCATCCTTTTTTTTTGGCTTTTTCAATGAAGTCCCTTAATTGTTCTTATGAAAAGCCTTCTAAGTTTTAGGGAATTTTACTAAATGTTCAGTAGCACAGAATAGCATCGGTGCTGTTTCAAATAAATATTTAGAATATTGTCATCAAACGTAAACATCACCGCCTGCTCCGTTCACTTTCAGCTTCGCAGTAAGATACATTCTAGGTGGTCATCTTCTGGAAGAGAGAGATTAATTATTACAGAATGTGTAGCTTTAAGGATGGTATGCTAGAGTACAGTTAGTCTTCTACTCTAGACATGAGATGATATTCCTTGTAATTAAAAATATTACTTCAGTAGTATCAGTATTTTTCAAGGGGAAAATATAATGCAAGTTTTATAAGGTTTGTTGTATGTTTCTATTGGCTATATTTTTTTCTATTCTACTTATGGAATAAAATAAAAGTTGATTCTTGTCCTTGTTTCCAGGACCTTTCGTGGTACGAGCTTTCCTTCGTAGTTCAACAAGTGAAGGTTTGTTACTAAAGATCAAGCCATTGTTGCCTAAAGAAGTAGAAACCGAAGAAAGTAACGAGAAGATGCCTAAAAATATTCTATTATGAAATTATTTTCAGTGGATTAAGAAGCAACAGAGAAAATTATAAAACTATATAATTTCTACATTTGGTGTCTTGTTATTTCCTCAGTCATTGTACTTGACAGTAAATTTTAACACTTGGAAAATCTTACAACACTTACTTTCTTTCTTTCTTTTTTTTTTAAAGATCCTATATATTTATTTGAGAGAGAGAGAGCACGAGCAAGGTGAGGGACAGAGGAAGGAGCACATTCCCCACTGAGCAGGGATCCCGATGTGGGCTTGATCCTGGGCCTCCAAGGTCATGAACTGAGCCAAAGGCAGACACTTAACTGACTGAGCCACCCAGCCACCCCACAATACTTTCAAAAATAAGAAAATAAAATTTTCTCTGTCTAAACCTATATTTTAAATCTTCCTAAATTGTCTTCCTTAGAATTCAGATTCTGCATGCTGGTAATTCTAGCTTAATAACTTTCCCTTGGGAGCCATACTATTCTGAGAGAAGAGTAATATTCTTAATTTTCATGAGACAGAGAATGGCAGAGTCATGAGCTATATCACAAATATGACTATTTTCTACAGAAAAAGTGTGGCATATGTTTATTCTAAAAATTTTAAATGTCATTTGTGATAGCATGAGTATAGAAAATGAGCTAGACATTAAAACGTGGGAGGGAAATCTTTTTTTCTTTTAGGAATTAATTTATAATATTTGTGGGGTTTTTTAGAATAACAGTAGTATATAACTTAATGTTACCTTGCAAAATACATACAGTGAATCATGTTTTCACATACTTAACCTCATTTGAGCTTAAATTCCTTTAATAGCAACTAGTAGGTTTGGTTAGTGTTTGTTGAATGAACATCCCATGATGTAAATAGAAAAACTTCATTTAATGGGAAGAGTTAGGCTAGGAAGTTGAGTGCCTTTCATCAAGTGTCAGTTTGCAAACTGTTGTTGGTCTTTAAGTATTTACTGGTAGGTGACAAAATGGAAAACATAAGGATAATTTTGGCATGCAATTGCTCACTGTCCTTTTTTTGGGATGATGTCCTTTGCTCAGAGACTACCTTTTTTTGCAGATGTTCACATGCTGCTTTCGTGAAGCGATAGTGTTGAAAAGTTTGTTGGTGAGTTTAGTAACACCCACTCTGTAAAGACTATTTTGGCAATTCCCAAATTGTTCTGAAACACAAGTGGTTGGAGAAGTCCGAATGACCGTGAGCAACCACGGCACCTCATTAAGCTGTATCCCACAGGAAAATTAAAATTTGAGGGCTGTTTATCAAAAACTGCTTTTAAAAAAAAAATTTTTATTTATTTATTTGAGCGAGAGAGAGAGCACATGCAGGCAGACTCCCTGTGGAGCAGGCAGTCTGACGCAGGGCTCGATCCAGCACTGTGAGATCATGACCTGAGCTGAAGGCAGATGCTTAATCAACTGAGCCACACAGGCGCCCCACCAAAACCAACTTTAACATTAACTCCAAAACAGTAATAGTATTTTTTGTTGAGTGCCTGCTGCTGTCTTGTGTTTTACATGCATCCTCTCCGCAGCTCAGTGAGGGATGGCTGGTATTCCCACCTACAGGGTAAGGAATTTGAGACTTGTGTGAGCTCCCCTAAAGTAAGCCTAAAGTAAGACTCAAACCTAGATCTGTCTGGTTTTAAAGTCTATTCTCTGAACCACATAACAGGGTGTTTGATCTCCTTTTTACATATTCTAAGAAAATTCAAACTGTTTAGCTGAACAGTTTAAAATTGTAAAAACATTGGATAATTATACTTCAGTGTCTTCGTATCTCTGGTTACAGGGTTATGGCAAAGCTGTGTAAAGAAAGTAGAAATTAGAGTGCTAGAAGGAGATCTATGAGAAAAGAGAAGTGTAGGATGGGGAGAGAAAAAGGTACTTGTTTTCCCTAGTTACTGTGTTTTGAAAGCGTACTGATTAATCACTATTTGAAGATCCTAATTTAGAATAGACATTCTATTATTATATTTATAGATCTGATTAGTAGATTAAGCATACTCCTATGATGGAAAGTTTTAAAAACACTAATAAATATAAAGAAATAAATCTATTCATAATCCTACTACTCAGAGATAACCAGCAATAATATTTTGGTGCTCTTCATTGTCTTTTTCAATCAACAGAGAACATACACATACGATGCTATAAAGTAAGCATTTTTCCATATTATTGAAAATCTCTGTGGAAAGCATCATTTTAATGGTTGAGCAATATTCCATCCTATTGATGCTGTAATTTATGGAATCATTTCTTCATTGTTGGACATTTAACTTGCTTTCAGATCCCCCTCCTCTGTTATTTACAGTGCTTTGGAGAAAGTCATTGAGTATAATTTATTTTCCTCTCTATTCTTAGCAGTGATAGTCCTGGGTTAAAAGGTGTGATACGGCTAGAAGTCTTAATTATGAATTAGAAAGGCGCCTTTGTGATCAGAACAAACTAGAACAAGGAAATATGGTTGGAAAAGTTGTTCTGGGCAAGAACATTCCAGGGTTTTATTAACTGGCCTGTGAATAAATTAGTCCCTACCCTTCCATTAAGCATTTTTCCTTAACTAGAACTAATGTTGAGTTGGGTGTTTATAATGGTTTATTTCTGGAAAAATAGAACCGGGCTAGATTACCCTTAATGTAAATATCTTTCTCTTTTGTATTATCATTTTATATTATTCTTAGAGAACAGAAAATGAAATCTTCTATTTAAAGAGAATAAAAACTTAAAAATTTTATATTAAGTACTAGGGATATATTCAAACTTTAACCTGCATCCAAGGATATCACCTGGTAGGCTCACAGTCACAAATTTCTGGGTTCTGCTTAGCAGTCGTTGGTGGCCCTTGAAAATTTTCATTTCTAACAAATTCCCACGTGATGATATTGCCATTCCATGGACAACACTTTTGAGAACCCCTGTTATTTACTAATGGCTCTGTTAATCCTGGCTAGATTAAAAAAAAAATCTCTGGCTGTGGTACAAGCAACAGTTCATTTAAAAATTCTAGGGGCACCTAGCTGGCTCAGTAGAGCACACAACTCTTAATTTCAGTGTTGTGAGTTCAAGCCCCATGTTGGGTATGGAGCCTACTTAAAAAAAAAAAAAAAAAAAAATCCACAGGTAATTCTAATGCACCAGGACTGAGACTCACTGGTATATACAATTAGCTCAGTTATAAAGAAAAGTAAAATTTGCAATTAAAATAACAAGTGTCTCTTAAAACTGGGATAATAAAAAGATAATGTACCAAATTTAAGAACCAGGACTAATTATAGGTTTCTGGTCTATCTCTCTGTGTAAATAATTTAAATTCTGGGTTCTCTGTGAAAAAAACAGTTCAAAGTCTGGAATCTTCTGTAAAATAAGGACATCATAAAATGATCACCACTATACTTTCTGACAAAATTTTATGATATACTTTTTGCAGGTGGCATTTCATGTCGCTAGAAGTTATGTAATATAACATTAATTAATATTACTAATATAAACATACATGTGAACTTAAATTTAATGGTACGATTACGAATTGGCTAGTGAAGGCCCAGATGCTTGACGGGAGTTGGGGGCATTTATTACTCTAGTGATTTTTTCTGTAGCAAGCAGTTAATCACAGTGTCCAGTAGGTGGCGATCATAACCTATCATACAACTTTTAAATAGCCTTGAGCTTATTGGTAAATACTTGTTTTTTCATTTGACTACAAAGATAAAAAAGCAAAATTACTGTATAGACCACTTGGAGCTTTGTTTTATAATAGGTCTTTTTTATTGGTTCATTTTATTCTGTTTTGGACATACCATGGAGTTTGCTTTAGTTGTCATTGTAAGTAGTGCTTTTAGAATTCTTATTCCTGTTTTAACTTTTATCAGAGAATTTTTCAAACATATAGTAAATTTTTTTTAAATTTTTTAAATTTTTAGTGTTTTTATTTATTTGACAGAGATCACAAGTAGGCAGAGAGGCAGGCAGGAGAGAGAGAGGAGGAAGCAGGCTCCCCACTGAGCAGAGAGCCCAACTCGGGGTTTGATTCCAGCACCCTGGGATCATGACCTGAGCCGAGGGCAGAGGCTTTAACCCACGGAGCCACCCAGGCACCCCTCAAACATATAGTAAATTAAAAAAAATAAGGAACACCTGTTCACTTATCACCCAGCTTCAGCAATTATCAGTGTTATACGCAGTTGTGCTAGTTACATCTATCCCTTTCATCTATCCACCAGCCCCCAGTTTGTCCTTATGCCTGCTAGAGTAATTAAAAGGAAATCCCATATATCCAGTGTCAGACACCTTATCCATTAGGCTGCATGGTTCTCTGAAAAATCTCATATATTGTATCTCTTAACCTATAGCGTTTTAAGAATAATCAAGCTATAATTACAAGAAGATTTTAGGTCCTAGAACCCATTGTTTTGGTGTTCTACTGTGGCCATTGAGGGCTTTAGTTTTTATTATATTTTTCATGTAATACTGGGCAGATATCTATATTTTTCATGTAATGGCAAATATCTATTTCTATTGCTTTGAGAACTTATTGCACAGTGACAGTTATAAGAGGTTGTGTATAACTATCAATACTTCAAAAAATAAGGAATTCGGTATCTTAAATTTTTATTTTTGAATCAACATATAAAATTAGAAACGTAACTGTTATAAGGAATAGGTTGAAATAGTATTTTTATCTGAATGTTTCCAGAGGAAAACAATTTTACCATATTGTTTTATTTTTAAAAATAGAAGCATATTAAATAAATTTGGCAAAGTAGAGAAAGGAAGAACACTGAAAAATTTAAAGGAGACAATGACCCAAAATCCCTTAAATAGCCACATAACAGTTTGTTGTACTTCCCTTTTTTTTCCTTTTCTCTATGTGGAGGTCTCCTTTTCCCCTGAAATAGTGTGTCTGTGGCCATGTTGGGTTCGGAGCAGAAGGGAGACGTCTTGGCTCTGGTGGTTTCCCACATCACCAGCTCTTTAGTTACTTCCTTTTGAAAAAAGGCAACCAAAAACCATCGCTAAATATTTGCCGAATGAAAGGTCTAAAGCTTTCTGTATCT